TCTGCTGGAAAGTCAATAATATAGACCTTTGATGTACCCAAGGTTTAGCCTACAATAGTTTCAATTAATTTGAAAGTTATTGGTCATTTGGGTGCTGACTTCATGCTGCCCCTTCCATCTTCCTTACAGGGCTGTGGCGTGCCGTGACCTCGACGAGCAAAGGTGCCACATCCGTTGTCTCCCATGGCAGGATCCTATTGACTACATTGTACACTCAGCGCTAAGGATGAGGTTCTCTGGCATCTATCAACAGCCCCTAGGCTGTCATGAGACAGGTTTATATTGACAATAGATGGAGAGAATCCGAAACCATCCACGAGTCCAGATTCTCCCTGTCTCTGGAGATGGGGAAATATTGACAATATTGTCCCAACAATACCACAGACAACATATCTTTTAATCAACGTGCAAGGAATGCACTATCCGGCTCCTCTCAGGAATTGAGGTGAGCAAAAACGATATCATGAAGTCGGGCTGCTGGCCGCTCGAAGAGGTGATGAGACAGTATTGACCGGACAGCTGACAACAGAAGGAGGATGGGGCTGGCTTTTAATTGAAATGCAGGGCACAAGGGGCAGCCTTGCTTTTCATGATAGGACAGAGATATTGATTGCAATGAGGTAAAGAGTATCATCACATCTGTGTCCCTCTTAAGAACAGCGTATTGACTGCACAGACGCTCGCAACAAGGATGAGATATCTTGTAATTGAAAGAAGTGGTATCAGGGGGCCTTCTGCCTGTCACAAGGCGTCTGATTTATCGACTGAAGAGCCTGCGAAGAAAGCCACAGGAAACATCTGATAATTAAACAGACAGTCAGGTGAAACATTCGGGTCACTAAGGTTTCAGGCAAGGACCATTGTGAGGGAGCTCAGATCGAAACTTTCAATAGACATGACAGTTACACTGCAGACAATAAGTTAATGGTGATCTCTTTAGTTGGCCTTGAGGCTTCATAACAATAATGGAGACAGAACATTTCTAGTCAAAGGTATACATGTAGGTAGGCTTTGGGTGTGATCCATCAAAATTCATCCAAATAATGAATACCAAATATTTTATTTTTGTTCAAGCCTAGTAAAGACATCAAAATTATTTGCTCCTCTTTTACTTTTGTTTTACTCATAATTTTAGTGTGCTATAATTTTCATCACTATTATAATTCTATGATGACTGGTTTGTTGTTAAGTTTCGGCTCAAATGGCATTGTTTGAAAAGGGACAAACCCTCTCAAGACCACATAGAGCTCGAGCTTACAACAGGGATACAGTGTACTGGAAACCCAAGCTGTATTAAGAATTGTATTAAGCATTAGGCAACTTCCCAGAATTACCTTTATTCCTGAAAAAAAAAAGGAAAAGATTTAAGAATACAGTAATTGAAGCAGTGTGGTCCTCGATCCTACCTGGTCGTTAATTTGGAGGGCGACCATGTTCTGTTCATTGTAGTTGCGTGCACTGCGGATGTATTTCATCCAGTTCCCCGTGCCTGGTTCGCTGGCATCAACAATGAACTTCACCTTCCCAAACTCATCAACAATCTGGAAAACATAAAATGATAATAGGTATTGAGATGCTGAACTGGTTTATATTAAAATTTTTGGTTTGATTAATTGTAACATTAATAAAGATATACTTTTTTTTTACTACTTACATTTCATCACTGCTGAAACTTAAGAGATAGCGAAACAGGTGTTACATATTACAGTAATGTAAAACTGACCCTGTGTTGTTATTGATGGTACAAATAAGATTTTGGAATATTGTGTTCACATAAAAACCAGCTGAAGAGTCCTTCTCAAGTTGTGATCATTGCGTACATAATAAAAATATTTACACTGACATGTTGATGCCAGAGTCATCCAGAAATGTTAGATTTCACAAATTACATAAATTTCATAAATTACAATAAGTTAATAATTTATCCTAACAATAGAATGTACAATGAAATATATTTTGTAGATACGACATACATTCTTATGAATTACATAAATTTGTCAACAAAACATCTTTTTGTGTAACATTCCGTCCTTGAACCACTTTACAACCATCTATTCATATTTGTTAAGCTTCAGCCATATCAGAAATGGTCCCTGACCCTTTTTGCCAGGGATCATAAATGGCTACAAATCTAGGTCACAGAGCATGTGTTGAACTGTTTAAATAAGTATGTGTACACATAGTGGTCCAGGAGGGATAGCAGGTGATTCCTTAATTGCTATGGCTCTGTCTTACAAGATGTAGAACATCTTTACATGTGCTTAAAGGACTATGAAAACATCTGCTGAGGACATGCTAGATGGCACTTTGTGCAACAAACTTATGTGTACATGTAACAGTATTATACAAGACAAACTTTAGCAAAATTAGGTACAACAAGCGAGCCTCATGGACAAGCGCAATTTCAGTGCAGTGGATGCCTACAACTACTGGTATTATAACTTTAGAACATTGTCTAGTCAAATGCAAAAATGTATGATAAAGATTTTATGTCTATCTTCTAAAATCCACCTTGTGAATCAATAAGCTACATCTCTACCATCTCGTGTGATGATCTAGTGGAAGGGTATGGAATGGGTGCCCCCCTCCCTCATTCACAGAGGAGGAACTTGCAAAAATCATGTCACTCCTGTTGGTAGCAGCCTCATCAAGTCAACAGGCAAAATTTCAAAACATCTAGGCAACTTTAAACAACACTTAGCCATCTTCAACACAAAATAACCATGGAAATGGTTCATTTCTTTCATGTGGGAAGATTGAAAAATTATCCTCTTCCAGCCAGTTTCCAGGAATTTCCTCCTGGTCAGCTATGTTCCTGAACTCCCACTGTGTTGGTCATGTGATTTCTTCTGGCCTATCATATGAAGGGTAGAAAATCTCTGACCAATCAGAAGTCTGTACTGCCTTGACAGGAAAAAGACCTCAAAATGGCTGCTAAGACCTGGAAGTTCTGGACTTGATCAGGTAAAAATGTACGAAAAATAAGTATTGTACAAAAGTTACAGTATACTTGAATGTGGTCATCCTTGTCTAAAAGAGTGTAGACTTGATGCAAGTCAATGTCTTTGTTCCAAACTCTTTTTACAACCATCCTTGATGGTTTTTATATAATCTTTTAATATAGAATTGTATTTTGTATTTTGACTGTTTAAAAGTCAAGGAGGTGGGATGTGACTTATAATAATAATTATAATGAAATAGGGAGAGAGAGCCCAATGTCATAGTTTACTGCCATGGATGGCATTTGCAGTTGCATCTTCTAACTTTAATTTTTTGTATGAAGCTAGAGAGCATTTTCACTCACTGGGGATACATTTGAGTCAAAATGTTGACCGTCCTACTTGTATTGCTAATTTTCATATTCACTCACATAAGGTGATAGATTAATATGTCTTGCCTCAATTGATGCTAAGTGCAACCAAACTCTGTATGAGGAAATGAGGCCACCTAGCAGGAACTGCTGTGTGCATCAGGCACATACAGCTCACATTTACAATTGTACCTGTATGTTCATGTGCAGCACCTAAGGACTGAAATTTCTATTCATATGACACAGCACGCTTTTTCTTTGTTATTCTTATTTTTTACAAAGAGCCATCTTACTTTGATATGGGCTTTGAAAGAAGAGGATGCTTGTCTGTGAAGCTCTTTATTTCCCATATAGGACTGTGGTTAAAATCTTTTGTCAAAAGGGTTGGGTAAAGAATTTGCAGGTAGAAAATTTTGCATGAAAAAAGAGCACCTGAGATATATGAGTATATCATTTTTAGTTCATGTTCACTATTACACCATTGTTGCTCTGTAACATGTTGTTTTATTTCATGACCTCATCTACTGTGGAATTCTGGGATGACCCACAATGCTGTTGTGATGGCCTTTTGTCCGGCTGCACGTTATCTCCCAACATGCTGAACTTTCGGCAGAGTTCAGAAGCTGGGAGACAGCCAGCTGTGCCCATCATGATAAATGTGCAATTCTCCCTCAGTAAGTCCACATGCGATCCCTTTTACAATGGTGATTTAGCTGGTAAATCATCTCAATGACACTTGAACTAGAGTATCCTTGAGAAAATCCGCCTGTCTTCATTACGTTTGAGCCGGCGTATCAGATGAGGATAGAGAAAGACAGATAGTGGCTTGCCATGCTTTAATGAAGTAATGTGTACACGATATTGAAAGGGACTTAAATTTCCATTTGGGTCAGGCAACACAGGGAAAGAAAACTACTTTGCAGGTATGATGAGAATGTGTCATCTCTAATTACGCGGAGCTGATGCATTACATCTTTTGGCACGGGGAGATGAGGTGGAACGTTTCGCTCCAAGAGGAAAGGGCTTCTTCTCTTGCCTTGACATGATAAACGGTCGCAACCTTTTTATAGCCACCATATATTAGTTTCCATCCCCACCATAATGTGCATGTTCCCACCACAGAAAGTAATATCCTTGTTATGAGTATCTCCAGACTTATTATATCACAGCATCCACAATTTGCATTACTGAAAAGCAGAGGAATGGCCGGTTAGCTTTGAAGTGAATCAATCTACGCTTCAGGTTGTCTGCAATCATTCCGATGTTTGCTATGGTTATTAATATTCCAGGCAGGTATCGGTGGGGGGAGACCATCGGAGGAAAACTGCAAGCTATGTATTCTCTGAAATTAAACTTTCACACATTACTCCAGGCATATCGCCATTAATTGCTTATTATACTCCGTGCCCAATTAGGGAGGGTAGGACATGACAGGCCTATTGTGCAAGAAGAAATATGCTGTCGGTACAATTTTCTCTGTTGAGCGTACAAAAATGGGGGTGTTATCAGTGCCAAAAAAAATGGTTTGGGCACAGGATGGGGTAGCCTGTGTGTTCTGTCTTTTGTCATCTAACACTCTATAACCTTGACCATAGCAGTGGAAGACGCCCTCTGCCATAATTGGCCCGGGCTGTCAGTGAGCCATCTGCTTATTTGGTTGGACATACTTTCAATTCTCTGTCTATCAGTTCGGTGGGATTTTGCAGAGGGTGGAACATCCAGGCTGGATATTCCTGCCCCCAGGAGAGGACATACCAGGGTGGGAGTAGGAATGAGTTGGATTCAAGTGGAGGAAGATCAATTACAATGTCAACTATGGCCGGGTGATGCCCCCACTAACATGTTTTGCAGGTGTCCCTGTTTCTTTTTCTGTTTGGCGGTAGAGATCAAACCAAGAAGTCCCGCCGACTGCTGGAATATAGTGTCTGACACCAGCAGTAATGGGGCAAATGGAAAGGGGAGGAGGGAGGGAGCATGGTTCTTAAAGTTCAAGATGAAAGAATTTCACACATGGAGGTACGTTAAACTATGACAACAGAAGACTGGGAAAACATAAAAGAGATACACAAGGCAGAAACCTGTGGGGATCGTGTTTGGAGATGGGAGCCATGAGTTTGGGGTTGAGAAAGGTGACACACATGGTCTCTGTCAGCCTTCAGCCTGGTCCAGCTGGCTTCGGCAGGCAAACAGTAGATATTTGGTTACAATGGCAGTGTCACGCTGAGGATGATATAGTGTGTGTCAAGGCGAAACAGAGGGATGTGGTGTGATTTATGGGACCATGCCTCTCATAATAGGTAAAGGCATGGTGTTGATGCGTGCCTGCCCTGGCATTTGCCAGCCCCAGCCGCGGATCTGCGGTCTCCTCATGAGACACCATAATCGGATGATGGCCCCGCCATTCTGATGGCATCCCATCATACTGTCCTGTACACCATAAAGCAGATGTTCAATCGTATTAATTTTCAGCAAAATAACTTATTGAACGCGGGCGAGAATATGGATTTCCAATCATACCAAGCGGCACGGGCTGTCGGCCAAATTGAAGTGTCAGCACATCTTGAGGTGATTCCTCCCACCCAGGCAGACACCAAACCTGTTCCACCTATCTAGACAAACCACAAGATTAAAAAGGACTTGTTGAAAGTGTTCCGACCGAAAAACATTCCTGCCCTGTTCCTGTTTTCTCACTACTCATCCTCCCTCCTGCTTGCTTGCTTTCCCTGGAATTCTGCCCTATCTACCCGGCCATGAAGCGACTTGACATGTCAAAATACTTTTTAATTAAAAGTACACTTGCAAGGCCCTCTCTGGGTAATTGGAGACACAATGCCGAAGTCATCCCTGTATTACAGCACCAAGGTGGCCACCTTGACTTAATTTGCCGAACAGCTTTTTGTCTGGCTGCGGTATTGATGTATCCCCGTGTTTATTTATCTACTGGGTACTATCACAAGAGATGCATTGCCCAGAAGACCCGGCAGGTAGACCTCTTTAATATCTCCTATCTCCGACACTCTACCTTTGGGGACCTAATAAAGCCTGCATCAACCTTCCCTGATGTGTCATCCCCTACTGCAATTTCCCTGTCAGGTGGTCATAAATCAGCTCGCCATCTTCACCCGCTGCCCCAGCAGTCCTGACGGTATTAAGACTTGATGGATGCCAAGGATGTAACCCGCTGCACTTTCTCCACAGACATCTTCTCGATAAGGTTACCACTCTGCTCAG